TAAGCCAACAAAAATAAACAGGAGTCCACTCTAGGGCCCTAAAAGTGTATAGATAGTAAATAACATTTGTTTATGCATTCATCAAGTCTCTGATGGGCAGTTACTCTGTGTCACCACTACTCTAGGCCTTGGGAAGATAGCTGGGGAAACAGGAAAAATCCCTCTACTGTAATGAATTTTTCATGACAATGGTTAATAAATATGTAACACAATAATAAACTAAATGGTTGTATACTGGAAGAGGATGAAGCTCTGGAGAAGAGTGGGGAGTGTGGCCTGCAATGTGGGGAGCAGTTTCAAACAAGATGGTCAAGGAGGACCTCAACAAGAAAAAACAGGATAGGGTAAGGTCCACACACCATGCAGATGAAGCTCATGATTCAAATCAAAGAGAAAGTTGGAGAAAAACACTGTCAACTGGTTTTCACTGTGTTTCTACCATCTGTCCATGACTCCAAAGTACAAAAGAAGGGAGGATTTTACATGATGGCCACATACACTGTTTTTAAACTTTAATCATCAAGGCTTACCACCTTATTTTCCTACAGAAAAATAAGTTACCATAGGTCCTGCTTTTGTCTCTTGAAATTTCCATCTTTCTTGCCAGAAAGCAGCATCTGTATAAATCCCCCTGCTTCTGACAACTCTGACTTCTTTGATAAACTACCCATGTGTGTGGGGAGGGACAGAAAGATGGAAGGAGCAAATGGAGAAATGAGTTTTCCCCTCTTCAGATTAATGTATATGAAGTATACATCTGACACTTCATCAGCACTCCCGGCTGGTGTCCCAGCAGGCGGATACTGGCTGAGCATGGATTCTGCCAGCTACCAGGCTACTTAGGATGAATTGGCAACATGCCATTTATCTGAAATGCCCAACGTGTCTGGAAGAGGGAGCACAACGACATTTAGCACTGCCAAGGAAAACTAGATACTTCGGGCTAGGAATTAATCTCCTCCTTGAGAAAGTAGTTAGCATTACCCTCAAGCTCGCCTATGGCATTTAAATCACTATAGGTCATGCAGTTACTAAAATTCCTACCTAGCAAGCCACGAGGCCTTCATTTATATCTTACTAACATATGGATACCTCTCAGGTGGAGAGGTGTACTTTTCTGAAATGTTTGTTGGTGTGTTGAACAGGAAATGCTGTTTTATCAAGTATAATGCTATCATGTGGACATTTTGATTTCTGTTTTTCCAATTTTTCCATACGTGAAGACACATACTACTTCAACTTAGTTCTTCAGTGAGCCAACAGAACATTTAAGACAATGTGACCACATCATGACTGCTTACAAGCATATTCATTGAATTTCCTTGAAGGTGGACAGGGATCCTCTCTTCACTATTTTGTCATTGTATTTTTTGAGCGGCCGATGTGGAACTACACAAGATTTGGTCCATTACACAGACTTCATGGCTAATTACGAATTTAAGATACACACAGAACAAAAACAAAGAGGTTTTAGATGGATAGTCTTATTAGGCCACCCATTACGGCACAGAGAATCACATCATCACTCTCACCTTGCAAGCAGAGTCATCTTTCACTTTATAGGAATAATTATTAATCGTAATTATTATTAATAATAATTATTCATTCCATCAACAATATTTATTGAATGCTTCCTATGTGCAAGGAGTTGTGCCAGGAACAGTGAGGAGTACAAATCAGAGGAGACAGGAATTCTGCCCTCAAGGAGCTTGTTGTCTAGCAGGAAGAGTGACTTAAAGTTCTAAGACAGGGCAGTGGAGTTGAGAATAGTGGCCTGGAGAGAGGGTCAGAGTGAAGCACTTTCCACAGTTCAGGGCACCATGTGACACATCACTTGTTTAAAGGGAAAAGGAAAAAAGGAGAAGTTCTAATAAGTGGGCATTTCCATCTCTCAACCAACATTTTCTATCACTATAGAGATAGTTAACTGCAATCAGTAAGGTAATTTAGATGTAATCCAATCTAAGAAATATGAAACAGATTAATGGTCTGCAAAGGGTACCAAAAGCAGAAAAAGTCATTAGCCTGAACTGGGCGATATCCTGAAATGAGCGATATGGCCCAGAAAGCTGGGCAGCTAGCAGAACAACAAGGAAATCAAGATGGCGCTCTGCCTATCAGCTCTCCTCCACCTGTTACTGCTTTTATTAGGACAAAATGTGGGCGGGGCAGGAGAAGACTTGGTCAAACAGTCTGCAAATAGTTTTCCTTCGACTAGCATCAGGAAGTAATGAAGTCTCTGAAGGAAAGACAATGAGTTAAACTTTCACTGTCAAGTCAAAGATTAACTGCAGTCTGGCTTTCATACTCAAGCTTACCCAAAATATGTTACTAACAGAAGTAGTAATATTGCTAACAACTGAGGCTTGCTATGTGCCAGGTACTATTTTAAGCTTGCTGCCTATGGGATTTTAGCACTTTCTCTAGTTCTGCTCTCAAGCAAACAGTATAAAAACTCACAGGACTGATAAGCTAATAATTAAATGACTCTTCAGTAAGAATTTCATCGGACATATTTTGAGGAGTACTCTTTTGTGTTTTCTATTAATAGTTCTCTTTATCTTTTTAACTTATTCCCAATTATCTTAGGTCACCTGACATGTGTTTTACCAATGAATGAGTCAATTTCTCTTTCTGAGTATGGGACTGCCAGGATTAGATGAGATATATTCCTTTTAACAGTGTTGTTTTATTCAGAATAATTTATTTGCCAAGCAACACACAGGACTGCTATCTGAGTGTGAAGAGTAATTCTGCAGTGACCCAAAAAGCGCCTCTCTTTAAAAAGTAATAATAAAAATAATAATAATAATAATAATTGTAAGGCATTTCCCTCTTTTCTTAAAAAGTAAATGCTTTCAGTAAAATTAGCTTTCAATAAAATTCCCCAAGAAGAAAAAGTAACATTGAGTTTGGGAATGGGATGATGACAAATGGTAACTACCATCATTTTAACTGTACCTTGAAACACAAGTCCTAAAATTTTCAAGAGAAGAAAACAATGAACTTCAGTTCAAAAACCATAGTCAATTTTAAAGTCAAAATATTCTGAAACTTTTTTAGGAATAATTTTTCACTATCTTCACAATCTTTATTAATCTAGAAGTAAAATCAGAAGATTCCAGAAGTGATTTCCAGGAACTGCTTAAATACTTCTTTTCATCTTGCAGGCGTGGTGAGTTGATAAAATAGGAGAAACTAAATGATTTGCCCAAGTTTATACAGCTACCTAGTGGCAAAAGTAAGACTTTTGTCAGAGATCTGACATAAATCAAATCTCTCTGCATTATTGAATGATTCTCAAATATCTAACTTATTACTAATGCATAAAATTATAAGGCACCATAAGGCACTAATATATTATTTGCATCTCCATCAGTAAAAGATATTTAAAAATCTATTCCCAAAATATACAACCCTACCACCAAAAGTTAACTTGTAGAGACTTCTAGGCTGTGCCAAAGGTTGAAGGAGAGAAGGAACAGACCCAGAAGAAAACAAAATTCTAGGAAGCATTGTGGTTGAAAATAAAGATCAACACTGGAAGAAATGAACAAGGAATGCAAGAGGCCAAGCTGCAAACAAATATGCAAACATGGATGCCATGGGCCAACAGGTAAATGTGCAGAGAGCCCTGAGGTGGGAATAACAATCAGTTTCAATTACCACAAAAAAGAAGGGTCCAGGCCAAAATCATCAATGGATAGGCAATCTAGGGGAAATTTTTGATGAGAAAAAATACGTTCTCATGGCCTGAAATTTACCTTCCCACAGAATGCTTACTGATGGCAAGATTAAAAATCTAATTCCAGTGGAGACATCAACACCATGACTATGTGTGTGTGTGTGAAGTGGCGGGGGGTAGAATTAACAACACAGTGAGGGGCAGATGGACATGATGGGCCTGCAGAAGGTAAGCCCTGAAAGGACACATCACCACCCATGCCCTATTCTGGCCTGGAATGCAAAATTTGAACCTCACCAAGAGGAAACATCAGACACGTCAGGCACATGTAATATGAGAAACATCCCATTCTTTTTTTTTTTTTTTTAAGATTTTATTTATTTATTTGACAGAGAGAAAGAGAGATCACAAGTAGGCAGAGAGGCAGGCAGAGAGAGAGAGGGAAGCAGACTCCCCGTTCAGCAGAGAGCCTGATGTGGGGCTCGACCCCAGGACCCTGAGATCATGACCTGAGCTGAAGGCAGAGGCTTAACCCACTGAGCCACCCAGGCGCCCCAAAACATCCCATTCTTTAAAATTGGGAGGGAGAAGATAGTCTTCAAAAATGTCTACATCATAAAAGGCAAAGGAAGGCTGTAGAAAAAATCCAGATTAATAAAGACAAAATAGATATGACAATTAAATGCAATATATGACACTAGACTGAATCCTACACTGGAGGAGAAATGCTACACAAGACATGATTAAGCCAGTTGATAAAAATGAAATACAGAATGGCTCGAGTCACCATAAATTTACCAATGTTCCTAACTGTGATAACAAAAGGCCATGAGAGACACAGCTTACTCTCAAATAGTTGAAGCAATTATCTGAGTGTGTGTACACAGATATGTATAATACCTATGTATATACCTACCTCAGCGTATATCCAAGGAGAGAGAAAAAACAAATTTGGCAAGAAATTAATAGCTGGATCAATATGTTCTATGTATTTTTCATATTCTTCCAACTTTTTGGTAAAGCTGACATTATTTTCAAATGAAGTATTTAAGAAAAAAAGCTCAGAGATATTTTCATTTCTTTGGAGGGAGGAGAGGTAACAGTGGAGGTGTCAGAAACACTACAGATTAGATTAGGGGTGTGGAGAAGACTTGGAAAAAATTAGCACACTCCGTGCAAAAAATGTCACATTGCTTAATGCTAAATGTGGTTAAGTTCAAACCTAGTTAAACTCAATAAACTGAAAATAGTCCCTATGGTGGTGGGGAGAGGACACCGCATCGATGCACCGCGGACCCCAGCAGAGGACACTCACCAGGCTGGCGGTGAGCGACGGTGCTGACTGGCCCAGGGCCTGGCTGCGCATGCGCACGAGGTTGGACGTCTCTGCAGAGGCTGGCCAGGCCTGCCCGGCTACAGGGTTTGGAAGGAGGTACCTCCCTGTTGGGGTGAAAGAGAAGACAGGGTAAGTGGCAGGCAGAATATCACCATTTCTGTGACGACTGCAGGTCCCTTCTTGGCCATCCTTCTATACTGCTTCTGTGATTCTCCTTATATTTATTCATCGGAACCAGAGGAATATTGTTTTAATTAAGTCAGGGGATCCAGTCCCAAGTTCTGATCCTGATTTCCCACATTAACCCAAGGAAGCCTCTCCAGCTCCAGCATGGGCAGCTTTCAGCAAGGGCAGGATACAGCATTTTGTGACCTCTGCCTATCCCACAGGAACTTGCAGAGCATACAGAGCATACACACAAAGCACCATCAGCATCACAGAAGTAAGTCTGCACTTACAAATGCACTTTTTAAATATCTAATATGAAAAATGATCTCAGGATCAATGAGAAAAGAGTTGACAGAGTAGAGCTCATGACCAACCAAAGGAAGGACTAGAATTCTCTCAAGGTGAAATGGAGCTGGTGCTTCATTCTCGAAGCTTCCCTCTCTCAAGAACTGGTGGTCATCCAATCAGGCCCACAGGACACACATGGTATCCATTCGCATATGTCAGTGACATCAATGTCAGACTAGGTTCACTGAGCAAGTTATATCAACCCTGAAATCTAATATAGGTCTATGTCTTTAACAGTCAAACAGGTGAACCAATTCACATTACGTTACTTCCTCAGCACAAGGACTAAACTAGATACCAACACACAGGAAATAAGGTTCCTTGACTTCAGGGAGTTAGGATGGACGTGAATATTCATGCAGTAATGGAGCTCAGCTAAAGTAGAAAACGTCTGATTTTTCTGTTTCGCATGAATACTAGCACAATGACTAGCCATAGTAGGTGCTCATTAAGTATCCCATGAATGATTAAAGAACAAGTGGGAGGTTCTTTTCCCAAAAGACACATTGGCAAAGAGAAAAGATGGCAGGCAACCCACAGAACCTCATTCAAGGTTTTGGGCGGGGGGGTGGTGGGTTCCAGCCAGATATCAATCAGAAACATGAGGGACTGCAGCACATGTGGCTGGGTGCCCTGCAGCAGAAGCAACATCTGGATTTCCTCCAACAGACCTGTTCCTTGTAAAAGAGCCTCATTCTCTTACTTCAGGCAATAAGCTTATCCCACTGTTTAATAACTGCTGCCATAGATTAACTGATTTACTAGCAGTGTACATGGTAACCACTGGCACTACCAAAGAACAGGAGTGAGCTACCGCTCCCATCACAGTCCACATGACAAGGTCTAATGCTTTCATCCCAGTGCTCTCAGAAGTTTATATTTTAATTGCAAAGCACACAATTTCTTACTTTGCCAAATTGCTGTTTTGCTATATTATAGAGTGAAAGCACACACTCTACAGAAAACAAGATTTGCTTTTGAGATCTTCACCCTGCCTCAGTGACAAATGGGGAAGGAAGTTAGCCAACCTTTCCGTGCCTTGGTTTTTCCACCACTAAAATGGGGAGAATGGGACTGTGTAAATTGTTGAGGAGATTAAAGAATTTTCTAAGTAAAGCACTGAGTAAACCTTAGATACTTAGCCCTAAGAGTAGTAAAAATGGTAAGTATCTTTTTCTCTTGGGTTTGGTTCCTTTTTATTCATAAGCAGGAAGTGTAAACATATATATAAAGGAAAAAACTCACCTATAATCACACTAGGGAAAACCACTATCAACATTTCAGTGATTTTCTACCAGGCTTTCTTTCTGTTACCTCCGTTTGCTTGCAAAAATGGAATCATACTGATTTTTGTTACCTGCTCTCCCCAACCCCACATAATAGATGACGACCTTTTCCAAACAAATATGTATAGAAAATGCCTATTAATTGAAGCATAAACTCTATCACTGAAAATTCAAATATAATTACCCTCTGTGATTCTGGCCACCACCTCAAAAACATTCAGCTCTATTTTTATGCAGGAAAGGTGACAGAATTGGAAGTCGAGAATTTTTTTTTTTCTTGCCTTTTTAAAAATATGAACTAAACTCTGGACTAAGAGGGCCTTTGGGCAATCCACTCCCTTTAGATCCAAAAGCAGGACATTAATAAAGAAGGACAGGAAAACTATAGACTGCATTTAAGAAAACTAAAATCAGTATTACATGAATAAATGATTTAATATAGAAATATCTTTGAAGGACATCATTTGTTAAAAATATACCGATCTCCATAATCAGAATCCATAGATTTTTTTTTCTTTTGACCCCTTCTATTTCATTTCCTAATATTTTATGTTTCTATTTTCTTTGTTCATATTTCAGAAAGAAGCCTGAGAGAAGGTACAGAGGCTATGTGATATAAAGGTTTACATCATGGAGAAAATTAACTTTGGCCTCACCACTGTTCTGCCCCAGAATTTTCATTTTAAAGAAAACCAAGGGTAGATACAAAAACAGTTGAAGAATTTAATGTAGCAATGGAAAAATTTAGAAGGCAAACATTTCAGTTAACTGGATAATTCTATATATCAGTCCTTTTTTTCCTTTTAGGAGAAAGTAATTCTTAGACTCTCTCCCTATGACCCTCCCTGATGTGAAAAAATAAGTATCTATTTCTTTATCCCTAGTATCAGGTACAGTACCTGGCCCTTAGTAAGTGCTCAATAAATGTGAGCAGAATAGAAACAGGGACAGTTCTCGAATAAATCTTCGGTGTAGGAAATTCATATGCTAGGATCTTTGCACAGGGAATCCAGCCCCACCTCAGATGGGAAGTCAGACTCAGAACAAGCACTGAGGGAGGAGGGGGGTGGACACAAGCGACAGAACCACTTCCCTTCCCTCCATACAGTTTCATTAGCTCTCACAGGGCACTCGAAAGCAAGCAAAGACCATGGCTAACAGGACCCCTATGTGTCCTCTCCTCCAAAGTCATTGCTGACCACCACCGTACATTTTATGTGCTACTGTACCATGTCTAAGTCTCATCTTGGCAACAAGGCCTGACATGTGCATTACCAAAGGAAAACCAAGTGCAAAACTAAAGTGGTAAGGACAGATATTAATCAGTAGTAATGACTGCAAAAGGAAGAAAGGACTCCAGTGTGAATTGAACTCACCTTCAATTTGTACACAATCACTGAGTGTTTTCATAAGAGAAAAAGAAAGTAGGGCAGGGAGCCAGTGGGGGCTCAGTCGAGTCAGGGGAGTGAAAAACGACACAAGGTCCTGCAGTGTAACTGCGACCAGGCCAGCTCTGTCTGCCAGCTGACAATTACCAAATTCAGACTCTACCCTCCCACAGAGGCTGGGAGAAAGAGACCTGATCTGTTCACCCCAACAGAAAAAAATTTTGACAGCCCCGAGTTTTCTCAAGCAGGCGCTTTAAGAGAACGAGGGTCATGCTAAGAAGGTTGCCTTGAGCTGTTAGAACCTATGCTAGTGTGTGTTTGTGACTTTACTGACCAAGTCTGAGGCCTGGTTGAGAAGGAGGCTCAGAGGAACCTGGCGAGACTTTGGTCAAGGACAGACTCTCCGTCAGGCTTCCACTCTTTTATTTTGTCACCAGACCCCAACCCAAAGGAGACATTTTGATGTTCAATAATTGATCAGTTCTGGAATTCAGTTTGAACTAAGTTTTTCAACTTAGTCCATATATTTACCTCATACAGTCTTCAAACCCAACAGGATATAAAACAGCGAAAGTTGCCAGTCATGTTACGATTGATACCACCTAACTGCTGAGTGCCAACTCTGACCCCCAACCCAGCAGCGATTACATCACTTATTCACGAACTTCCCCAAGTCTGTTTCCTCAGCTGGGCAACAGGGGTAAACTTACGGGGTGTTCCTAAAATCTAAAAAGAAAAAACATCATTCCGTGGACATTCAGTAACAACAACTTAAAAAATAAGAAACACAAAAAGCTTTCCATGACACTGTATATGATAAGGGGAGCAAGAAATAGACTTCCGTGAAGCCACTGGAAAAATAATTAAATTAGGAAACACACACACACAATGAAATATTTATTATCCTATCACTGGTTAGATTTTAGATGTCATTATTCTTGCATGAGTCTTATCCTGAGGAATCACATGAATGTTACAAATGAATGGTCTGTTAGCACAACACATGGGAGGTTTTTATTCCTGCCTAGACCCCCATTAGTGTTAATAGGGAAAAGAGAACAACAGATGGATTTAAGGCAGTCATTAGAAGGCACTAACATCGCGCCATACTTGGTAGTGACTTCATCGGACTTTATATAAATTTGCTTTCTGATGACTACCAAGAGCCTCTAAAAAGTGTGTTGCGGTTGTATTCATGCATCATTTGCTGCTTACAATTTAAGAAAATTAGCATCTGTCAACTGCATTATTCAGCTGCACAGGGTGGAAATTAATGGATAATACCATTCTTAATTTCTTGTACAAGAGGTGAGCTTGCCTACCAATCTGGCTGCTTTATTTTAATATCAAATTGAGCTTGCTGTTACAGCTCGAACTGTGGTCAGCTCTGTGCTCTCTGGAAACACATTTATAAAATTCTGATATGTTTATTACAGCATTTATTACATATATCCTACTGACATAACTAGAAATTGAGAGGCAATAAATAGAGGTCCATATCAAAGCTGAAATCAGTTGGCCAGATTGACGTAAGAACTTGTCAGGCTTCCATTATGGAGGTAGGAGTTGCTTGAATGAGCTTTTTATATTGGTTATTGTTACTGTTTTGGTCACGGGGCCTCTACTTAACAGAGTGGAAGATATGCAGCCTTTAAAGATTATATAGTAAAATAAGTAGATTACTGAGCCTAGACCCAGACTTCACCTTGGTTCTATAAAGGCTACATATGGTCTCTTTAATGGGGTGCGTTTTCCTTTGTTTCTACCCTGTATCCCCAGAAACAAGAAGACCGCATAAATGCATGCTTTCAAAAATGAAATACATGCTTTCAAAGACCCCCAAAGCATGAAGTATCCCTCTGAAGTAGCAAAATACCAGGTCAGCAATAATTTTAGCAGAATCGCTATATAAAG